ACAGAAACTGGCTCTCCGGTTAACCCTAATTCCATTGTGACAGCTAAGGCCAAGCGCCCATCGACCTGAGTGACGTTGAGTTGGCCACGCCCACCCAGTCACATGACCACTGAGCCCCGCCTACCCAGCTGGCAGAAAACTGGTTGTTAAATTATTTGAATCCCACCACTGGCATAAACCCACCATTCTATCCTATTCTAGTTTCTATTCCATTCCATTCTAGTTTCTATTCTATTCCATTCCATTCTAATCTATTCTAGTTTCTATTCTATTCCATTCCAGTTTCTATTCTATTCTATTCTATTCTAGTTTCTGGTTTGGTTTATAGTGGTTTATTCAACTTGTATTCACCCTATTCCCAAAGGGACTCAGGGACTCTATTCTATTCCATTCCAGTTTCTTTTCTATTCCATTCCATTCCACTCTATTCTAGTTTCTATTCTATTCTATTCTATTCTAGTTTCTGGTTTGGTTTATAGTGGTTTATTCAACTTGTATTCACCCTATTCCCAAAGGGACTCAGGGACTCTATTCTATTCCATTCCAGTTTCTTTTCTATTCCATTCCATTCCACTCTATTCTAGTTTCTGTTTCTATTCTATTCTATTCTATTCTATTCTATTCCATTGCAGAAAAGTTATAAAATCAAGTCTGGTTGCGTGAGTTATGACTTATGGTGTAAATTTGGGCTCCTTTATAGTTCGACTGTCTGTATTTCTCCCGAATGAAGGCAAATGTACGTGTCCCCGGGTAACGTTGCAGGATCCAATTTGAGTCGGTCACCGTGGCCCAAGCTTTTCTCTTCCGAGCTTTCGGACTCTTGCCGGGGGCCCATCTTCAGATGCAGAATATCTGTGCCCTGCCTCATCTCCAAATTTTAATAAAGCGATTTCAGATTATCCTCCGCCCCCCCCCCTGTTCTTCCTGCGGATGAAAAATTGCCTGGCAAACTGTCTACCAAAGCATCGATAGGAACATCACAGCATTGTATATTTAAAGAGCCTGGTGCGCCTCGGATGCAGCCGCTTTCTGAATCTAGAGCAGAACGGGATGGATTTTTGCTCCGGTGCTCATGATATGATAAACCCAGTAATTATAGCAAAGATCTTCTCACTTGTCTTACAAAAAATGAGTAAGCAATATTTATCCGGGCCTCCTTTGTAACCGCGCTCCCCAGTGACGGATTGAATGTGAGCTTTTGGGGACAAAGAACGGGGGAATAAAATGTTGGCAGGGAGGTTGAATATATTCCGGTGCATAAGTGTTCCTTTTCTTCCCCCCCACCCCTCTCCGATCGCACTATCAAGTTGCATGTGGAAATTAGTGGACAAAAACCCAGGTGTTGTTTTCCAGCATTTGCTTTCAGTCACAATCAAGCCAGCTTGTGTCTCAGTCTTTCTGGTTGTAATTATATTTGGGGGCCCCATCTGCATCACCTCCTTTCGTTCCATGTTAATTCAACGTGTGTGTGTGTGGGGGGGGGGGAATAAAGTATCTCACTTTAGTTGTCGGGGTTTATTAGCGTGGAATTTGTTTGGATGACATCCCAAGCCAACCGTTGCCAGGATTAGGACCTTATTGGTGTGGTGTTCGGAAACATTAGCAAAGTATGGTGACTGGAGAAGAGAATATTTGGAGCTTGGGGTTGGACTGTGGGGTCCTTGGTGCTCTCTGAGCTTGGTGGTTTTCTTGCACATGTTTCATTACCCAACTAGATAACATCATCAGTGCTAGAAGGGAATGATGGAGGAGGAGGAAGAGGAGAACTGTGCGGTCCTTGGTGCTCTCTGAGCTTAGTGGTTTTCTTGCAGACGTTTTGTGACCCAACTAGGTAACATCATCAGTGCTAGACGTGAGATAGGTTTGCCAGGAGGAGGAGGAAGGACGGTGACTGTGGAGTCCTTGATGTTCTCTGAGCTTGGTGGTTTTTTTGCAGATATTTCATTATCCAACTAGATAACATCATCAGTGCTAGAAGGGAATGATGGAGGAGGAGGAAGAGGAGAACTGTGCGGTCCTTGGTGCTCTCTGAACTTGGTGGTTTTCTTGCAGNTGGTGATTGGCTCAAAGTCAGCTTTCATGGCCAAAGGCGGGACTAGAACTGCAAGTCTCCTGGCGATTGGCCCAAAGTCATCCAGCCACTTTCATGGCCAAAGGCGGGACTAGAACTCCCAGTCTCCTGCTGATTGTCGCCCAGCTGATTTTCATGCCTTAAAGCAGAACTAGAACTCACTAGTCTCCTAGTTTCTAGGCAGCGCCTTCCCCATTACACCAAACTGGCTCTGCTTTTCTGCAGGGAGACAAAAGTTGTAGCGATTGTACCGTCTGTAAACACTTCCCCGTTGTGACGTCCCAAGTTTTTTACAGGATCAAGTGATTGACAGACGAACAATAGCAGATCAGGCTTTTTACATTTAGAATGGTTGGCAGCAGTAACTGTCCTGGCTGCCTAAGGCATTATTACAAGAAATCTCGGCATCTATTTGAAAGGTGCGATTTGGAGAGAGTGTTTCTTGCAAGGGAGGAAGCAGGTAAAGCTGAGATAATGGCAGATATGCCACCTTTGGCAAAGTGTGTCTATTTTTGGTTGGCACTTGCTGATTTCATTATGAACGTGCGCGGAGGTAAAAATTGCCCGCCGCTTGGTGATGCAATTGACATTTCTTTTTAAAGCTGGTTATTTTGTAATGGGCGAAAGAAAAAAATAAATAAATCAAAAGCAGCGCAGTTCATAATCGTCCCAGTGTTAAATGCAGACGGGAGGCGAGGAATTCACAGTTCAAGGGATCTGGAGTTTAATCAACTAGCAGCAAAATAAAGTCAGGGAACTCAGTAGAGAAAGATTTAGAGTAATATGGGAAACAGAGCTTAGGCCATTGGTGTCCCACTTTGACAACCTCTGAACTTCAACTCCCAGAATTCCCCAGCCATGTCTGTACCTTCAGAGTATCAAAGCATTGTTTTTATTGGCCTTAGCGGATGGATGGAGACCAAGGTTTTTAACTTGAGGTGCATCAACACCAGTGGTGGGATTCAGCCGGTTCGCACCTATTCGGGAGAACCGGTTGTTAACTTTCTAAGCAGTTGGGGGAACCGGTTGTTGGAAGAAATCTCCTTTTGTTTTTCCCCACTTTCCAGGGGATGGAATACCTCCAAGGTCCCTTCCAACTCTGTTATTCTTTCCTTTAACTTCTCCTAGCATTTTCCTGGCTTCTCATAATGTATCCAAAGTATGGAGATTCTCAGACATCCAGGTCATGGCTGTCCCAAAGATGCTTTTTCAAGAGGCAACTGGACTTTCTAGTTTTTCTTTGAAGACGTTTCGCTTCTCCTCCCAAGAAGCTTCTTCAGCTCACCTGCAAAGGAAAACCAGAAAGAAAGGAGGGAAGGAAGGAGGGAAGAAAGGAGAGAAGAAAGGAGGGAAGGAAGGAGGGAAGNCCACAAAGGAGGCCACACCCACAGAGTAGGTTCGGACAATTTTTGAAACCCACCACTGGACGAGGAGGATGGAGAGGTAAAGCGAGAGCCTGGGCCAACTTTGTAGCCTTTGGAAGGTTCTGATGAGGAAACAGAATCAGAGGCAGATGCAGAGCCAGGGCCATCTGTCCTCCCCCAGGGGGAGAGGTAGCTGACTTCGGGGGCCTGAGTGAGGGGGAGGAACAAATGGGGCCCATCCCAGATGCACGTATGCGTAGAGAGGAGAGGAGAGCAATGGAGGGCAATAAGCCAGCTCTCAGGGAAAAGAAGATGTAGACACTAGCCAGCGCCTCCCTGGTTGGGAAATAAATAATAGGGATTTGGGAGTAGCCTGTTATTGCAAGCAACAGTTCATTTCCCACTGTACATCAATCAGGACAAATTCCTTTGCCAGAATTAGGTTTGCCAGGACTAATTGCCCTGCATTTGAGGTGCCAACTGAATCTTCCTACTAGGAAATAACAGGGAATGAATTTCCTCAGCCGGTGTGAACTGGGACTGTGTCTGCTTGGCTTAATTATTGAAAGGGCTTTTTACCTTGAGTTCTCATGTAAACAGAGACTGATCTTGTCTGGTTCTGGAAGAAGGTGGAAACACTTTCCTTTGTGATAAATTACTTTGGGTTTTGTTTATCCAATGTGAACTGTTCCTCCCCTGTATTTGTTTGTTTTACGGTTTGTTTTATTTGTGAGTAAGTAGTTTCTCATTGCTTGTGAAGCAAGAGAACACATGTGTGCACCTGCCTGTCGCTTGAGTGGCCCAGTTCTGAAGGGCCCACGGCCCACTAGTGGACTGCAGCTTGTGGGTTGGAGACCCCTGCAATACACAAAACAAGGTCTCATATAAGACACTTCTAAGATAAATGTTTCACAAATGATAATGCTTTGCAAGCAAATTGGGACCCACAGAGATCCTTTCAAGACTTTTGCTGATCTTGTGGAAACTGAGCACAATCTCTCTAATGTTCTTTCGTACAATGATAGCACAACTGAATTTTTGACTCCATTCTTCTTCAACCATTGCAATCTGGGCTCATAATTGAATGTTTATTCAGCAAATAGGGCTATGAAGCAACGGATGGGCATTAAGACAGAAGCCTTTCCATTTCCCATATCAAAGCATCTTTTGATTTACATGTTACCAATCGATAACCATTTCAAAATAAACTCATTCACATGCAGAGTTGTTGCTCAGGAGAAAACCACTTCTATGGAAATGGCTTTCTATTTATTACATCCATTCTGATATTTATTTCTAAAATAAATAGTTACTGACAAGATCTAGCTAGGCAGTGGTGGGTTTCAAAAATTGTTCGAACCTACTCTGTGGGTGTGGCCTCCTTTGTGGGAGTGGCTTGTCACCCATGTGACCGGATGGGAGTGG